ACAGAGGAAAACATAAATATTTGGGGTGGTTGTAGGTTGTTTGACCTGGGAGGTGGGAGGTGGCAGGAAAAAAATGTCCTACAGCTTGGGCTGTACCAGAGACCCAAACACAATGCAGCAGTGGAAAACAGGCCAACATGACATTGACTTCTAGGCGGTTCTTGTTTGGGCAACATAGTTTAATAATGCTGTCTAAATAAATAAAAGAAACTGGTGGAGACACTGCTGGTTAGTGCTCCCTGTTCTAGCCCATCTTATTGGGTAGTGTCCCATGAATAAGCTTTGGTTATCTACTTATAGTGGGAACTTTCTAGGAGCTGCTATTTCAGTTGTAATGAGCAAAGAGAGATATGATAGAGGAGGTGAGAATGGGGAGCAGATGACATAATGTGGCTTTTCCTCCTGCTGGTTTACCATCCATCTCACAGATTCTTTACTGCAGTAGTAAAACTCCACTAGATCAAAAAGTGCTGCTGTTTAATGCCAGTGCAGTGATTATGGAGAAATGTATGATTCAGGATTTGATCCTGGACAAGCAGGTTGGCTTGGTATATTTGACTGAAACCTGGGTGACTGAAGAAGTAGGTGTCACCTTGACCCCACTGAGCCCACAGATTTCTGGGGAGTTGGAATCAGAGTGGTCTACTAGGAGCTTATCCCCCTTTGGCATGGAGGTAACCTGTACAGCAGTTGCCAAGGTATGAGTATGCATACCAGGTTAGCGAGATAGGATTGAGATTTCCTTGGTAGGCTGCCCACACAGCTAGCCTGCTTCCCCTTTGCCTGGAGGTGGTCTCAGAGTTGCTGTTGTTCCCCCCAAAACTTATTGTGTTGTGAGATTTTAACATTCTTGCCAACTTCATGACAGCTGTTGTCTTGTCTGAGTTAATAGCTGGCTCTACAAATGTAGGAGGCCATGCTCTTGATCTGTTTTTTGCTGGTCAGGATGAGAATGGATCAATGGGTAGAAGGGTTTGACAGAACTCCATTGTCATGGACAGACAACTACCAAATAGGTTTTCGATTTGTTGGGACTCCTAAACACTTCAGGGGTGGGGGGACACACTGAAATGGCCCTCCCTCAGTGACTAATAGATCTAGAAGGATTCCTGAATGCTTTGAATGATTTTCCAGCTGCTAGATTTGTCATTCTTGTTACTGCTCCGAATGAAGTATGGAATGCGAGAGATGATCTGTGTAACTGACACAGTTGCTCCTGGGCACTTGCATGCTGAGTATGGGCTTCTTAGTTTTCTGAGGAGTTAAGAACAGTGAAACACTTGCATGGGCAGTCTGAGTGATGGTGAGGAAAAACTCAAGACAAATCCAGTTGAGTACAGATTAAGGCCCATTGTGGCACTTACTCTACAGCAGTAAGGACAGGAAAGAAGCAATTATTTGCTGCTTCTATTAAATTGGCACAATACCATCCAGTTACAGTTATTTTGTGTAGTCAAGGGATTATTGCAACCTAGACCTCAGAGTACTGAGGAAGAGCCCTCAGAAACTCACTGTGATGAATTTGCAAAATACAGTACTTTCCAGAGAAAATTGCTCAGATCCATTCTAACCTCACACTAAAGGTAAACTTGGTAATTAAGGCTTATACTGATCTGGTTTTGATGGATATATTTTAGCTTGTTCCACTTGATGATGTGGACATGTTGATTGGAAAAATGAGGCCAACCACTTCTTTCTTAAACCCATGCCCATCCTAGTTGGTAAAGCTTCCAGATGTGGGCTGCCAAACATGATGGTGGAGGTTGCAAATACTTCTGTGAAATAAGGATGTGATCCAACTGTGTCAAAGAGAGAGAAGCAATTATAAGACCACTTTTGAAGAGACTTTCATTGGATCCACGGCACTGGATAATAACTGGCCAGTTTCTAATCTCCCTTTCCTAAGTAAAGTCCTGGAGTGAGTGGTGGCAGCAATTATTCTTCCTAAAGTTCTTGGGACCAGTACCATATTTGTGACATTGGCTACAACTCTTTCTTTCTTTGCTGGAAATTTGCCATGTACCAGCAGCTAATGGCTTGTGGAACAGAACTAATCCACAGACTTTTAAGTATCATTGCCCAGTGACATTTATCATAGTGACACTGCTGGGGAGGTTGTTCAGAACTATATCTGGAGGCCACCAGGAGCTTCATGATATAGCTGGAAGAACTCATCCAGAGTTTTAGGGTTGGGTATTATCAATCTGCTAATGATCCTCTGCTGTCTCTTACAACTGATGCCAAGGAGGCTGTGGCAATTCTGAATTGTCTGGATGCAGTGAAAGGTTGGACGTTGGTGAATAAATGGAGGCTCTGTGTAGACATGACTAAAGTTCTGTTGATCTTTAGGAAAGATAATGTGAGATTATTAGGATATAAATGTTCTAGATGGGGTTGCATACCTGCTATAGGACTCAGGTTCACAACTGGTAGATGCTACTGGACACTGCATGGAAGTTCAGCTGGAAACAGTAGTTAGGATAATATTTTCTGACATGCTGGATGTGATCCCATCTTTCCTTTCTTCTCATTGTCTTGATCATATTCTGGCTGGAGTATTCTGGCTGGAGGGGGGGGGCAGGGGAGTTCAGAAACTCAGCTAGCACAAAATCCATCTGCCTAAGTGTTCATGGGGGAGCAGTTCAGAAGATGTGGTTCTGTATCAGCTGTACTGGTTGCCTTTTTGCTTCTGAGCCCACATTTCTGTTTTTAATCTTTGAAAAAATGTATGTGTTTGGGGACCATATTCCTTGATGGACCACTTGCCCTTATGTAAACCTAGCCTTATTCTAAGGCAGATTTGGCAATGTTTGGGGGCCCATATGCCAGAAGCATTCATTGGCACATTGCCATCCCAAAACAGAACCAGCAGTGCCCCCAAATCCACATCAAAAATCATAAACATCCTTTTGGACTTTTTGAAGAGGCAAAACAAGGCCAAAGCCATTTTTGTCTTAGGTGGTGAATGGTAAATTAACCTTTAAATTTTGATATTTTTGTAGTTGGTTTAGACTGGTTGATTAGCTTCTGCTAGCCAGAGGAGACAAGTGTACAAGCAAGGAGTTCATTCATTATAAAGCAGCATTTTGGTTAATTCTTCTGCATGAGCACAGTCTCTGGCTTCTAGGGAGTCCACAGCCTAGCTGACATTTGAACCCTTGACTTCCCTATATGCCACCCATTCACTTGTGCTAAGCCCATTCCTTGGGTCCCTGAATGTTGTCAGATTTCAACTCCCAGAAGCCCCAACCAGCATAGCCAGTAGTTAGAGATTCTGGGAGCTGTAGTCCAACAACATCTGGGGACTTATATATTGGAAAGCACCGTGCTGCATTAACAATATAACTAAAGACTATATGGAACATGTGCATGCAGGAATAGCTGGGACAATGCACACAAAAGCCAAAGAGAGACTGTGGAGTTTATCACATGGGAGTGGAGTGCCCAAATCATGTGGATAAATGGGGTTTAAATCTGGGAATATTCCACAAAACAGGATTGTCTTCAGATGATGTTGGGCTAATTCAGCATTATCTCAACATTAACCCGTGAATGTTGGGAAAATCCCCAAAGCAAAAAGCGGCACGATTTTGCCTCTTCATTCATGGGTTAATGTCGGGATAATGCTGAATTAGCCCAACGTCATCTAAAAACAATCCTGCTTTTGTGGGATATTCATGGGATTTAAACTCTGTTTATCCATGGGATTTGGGTGCTTTGCCTCCTGTGTGATAAACTCCTTATGTGACAAATACAGTTGGCCCTCCATATCCATGGATTTTTAATCCATGGATTCAGCCACCCATGGCTTGAAAATATTTTTAAAAACATATAAATTCCAAAAGCAAACCTTGATTTTGCCATTTTATATAAGG